CCACTGTTGCCTCATCGTTGACCTTTTCTTTCGCAGAACAAATCCGCATATTTCCCTCGATGAAGGAAAGATGACGAGCAATGAAGCGATCGACTCGAACAGGCAAGTTCTCATGTTTGAAAAGGCCGTGTTTTATGTTTTTGAACTCAGCTTCAACTGTGGCTCAACTTGCTGTGATGCTGGTGCTTTGCAAGAGAGGGACCATTACTCCTGTCCAGAGTGGCGAGTAACTTGCCAAAATTGAAACTGCTGATTGTTATATTGATTTATGCTGTTCTAACTTTTAAGACTCAGGTTCAGCAAATTCTGACACCGTTTTGCTCCAGTGGACCGAAGAACATGAATGTTTGTCAACATGAAACATGATGTTTATTTATTTATGTTTGATTTAGCATCGCCCACTCAGTCATCCTTTTAATCTTAACAGATTGCATTTGATATGTGATTTAATTATTCAGCAGTAACGTGATAGGAACATGCAGGCGATTGACACTGAAGATACAAATGTGGATCCAACAGATATCAGATTTCTGTGATTAAGAGGAAATGATGTCGACAGTCAGGGTTCCATCTTTCAAAATGTTGCGCAAGATCACTTCATGACTGTGTCATCATGTGATCAGTGATGATACTGATTATAGTAACATATGTTGGATGTTTCAGTCCAGAGGAACTGGATGACAACTTGACAGCAGCCTCACACAGCAAGAAAGACGCAGAATTCAGATTTTACTTCGAGCGATCATCCTCTGATCGCTGTTTCTGTGTTTGCTGTGTTGACAGATTGATTATAAAAAGACGAAATATAACAAGAAACTAACATCTTAATGGGATTTCATTGGTTGCAGTGATGCAAACTAAAGCTAATGAACGTTGATATTGGCTGAATGAGGAAGGTGTGTTCAGGTACAGCAGGAGGGGAATGCCGTTAAAACTGTTGCTCTACTTTCTCCTCTTTTATAAGGTCATATTTACCGCAGGTACGTGTATGTCTGTCTGTCCCAACCTCAATGAGCCAAACTGTTAATATTAAATGTTATGTGTGAAAAGCAGACGGACTAATTTATGCAGTGCCTTGTTTGGCTGTAGATAGAAAATTGTCTTTATGTGAACACGTGTGGAGTTTTGTGTTTTAAATGCAGGGCAGCACATCACTAAAACTCAGGTATTGGTGATCAGTCCCCCTGCAGCTAATGTGAAGCCATTTTTCAGCAGATGAAATCTTACTTACCACCCTCTCAAATGGCTGGCTGCTGGTTTAATCCATGGATCGTGTTGTGTCAGTGGGGAGATCTAGTACACATTTGCATGAACAGTGTTGAGGATGGAGAGCCTTGGATGCTGAGATGTCATTAGGAGCGACAGCCCCAGGCACCGCCAGAGGCACTGGCTGCAGTCGCCGAACCTGGGGTTCTTTACGACCAGTGGAAAACATGGGACCGGAGCCAGATTCAAGACTCCAGACTCTCCTCAGGCTTTGGCATGCTGTCCCTGACCCCCAGGTTGTAGCGCTGCTGTGAAGCCCCTGAGGCTGAGACGATGCCAAAAGACACGAAGAAGGAAAAGCAAGAATGCAAAACAGCAGGGGGACAGTAATTAAACAAAATATTCATATTCAATCAAAATGTGCTTGAATATGAATACGTGGGAAATAGCTCTGTTTCCAATAAACCAGGAAATTAATTTAAATTATTATTGTAAATGCTATAAATATAAATAAATAATACATGTAAACCAAAAGCAAAGTCCTGCTATAGAGAGCTATAAATAATCGGACCTATATCATCGCATATGGATGCAGACATGAGTGTCATCGTCACTGTAAGGTGGGTAGAGCTGCAGCACAACAGGTGGATTCCTCACGAAAAACACGGACCTGCGACCTTCTTCAGCAGTTATGGTGTAATGTCGCCCTCTAGAGGCAAAAGAGAGCCTCACATGTGTAAGATTGTAAACAGCCTTCAGCCGGTTTTCTGCAAACTCATCCGTACAAGAAACTTCCACTGACCCCCCCACTTCAAAAAGCTTTAGATTAAGGAATCAGCTTTTAAATAATAATGCCTGTAATGCAGAATTTTTAGTTGACCTTAAAGATTAATTTATCGGGTGCATCCCAAAGCAACACACATCAAAAGTAAGAAATTAAGACATTTAAATATTAAGGAGAGGTTAGAATAGCCCGTTTAAGAGAGACCACCATCTAAAATTAAACGGCTCAATATATTTAAAGTCAGTTAACATACCTCTATTTTTTACCCCCTTATTTTTCTCTCATAGACACTTTTTTTTCTATTCTATGGCATCAAAAAGCCCTAATATGGTCATGTCACAGCACCACAGGCCCACACAGGTGTTTGTGGGGGCAGCCAATCATCAAAATGTTGGCTTAAAGGGGGAGGGGCTAAAACTGCTCGTTTCAGAGGGATTATGGTAGCTGCACCAGGGTCCAGAACAGAAATAATTATATAGCATTAATATGAACTGAGTCATGCAGAGGTGATCTAGTCGAGTTACTGTGTGAAAAATATGGATCTTCAAGTTGAGCTGAAGATTGAGCCAGTTACTCTGCTCCTCTGAAGGCTCGTGGTAACAATAACTGCTAATTAAAAGTCCTTTCCAGTGGCCATAGTTGATGTGGAGTTCGACTACTCATCAGGGATGTCAGACTGTTGTGGGCCACATGCAGCTCACTTTGATCTTAAATGGGCCAAAACAGTGAAACTCCCCTTTGTGTCAGTGTAAGGATAATTAACTACACAATTAAAATCCCTTTTTTCTTAAAATAAGAAAAAAGAAGTGCGACTTCAGCACTAGGTCTCAGTTTCTCTACATGATAAAGAAATGCTGCTGTAGTAAATAAAAGAAATCAGTCAACACAAATGAATAAATGTAAAATGTTTGAATAGCCATATGTTTGACTCTACAGTAAAACAATCTTTTCTGAACATCAGCAGCTGTGTGAACAGGATCTTATGCAACATCATAACCTGCATTTAAAGCAAAATGAACACAGCCACAGTTTGATTTGGTGGCTGCCGTTTGAAGAGTCTAGTTTGCTTTTTGGCCTTTTATGTGAAGCTGCAGGTTCTGACAAAGAAGTTAAAGTTCACCGTGGCCTGCTTGGCTAGAATGGCAGGTCACAGGTGCAAATACCTGCTAATTAATTCAACAGTAACGGTTTGTTGGTCCAGTCAGACACGAGGTGTCAAATTGTTATTCAGTTAATTTGATTAAAAGGCACCAAAACCACAAACAGAGGCCCGGTCAGGTGACTTTAAGTGGTTTTAAGACCCACCTCAGATAACACACTCAAATAAAACCACTGTGGATCACGCCAGATCAGAAACACAAACATTACAAAGTTCTCACCCCGAGTGGCTCCTCTCGCTTTAACAGACGATCTCCGGTGAGAACAGGAAACCAGCCGTGCTGCTGCTTCCTGTTTCCCCGCCTTCAGTCAGCTGTCTGTCCGCTGTGTGTGGATGAGCAGCACTCTCCAGCAGCTCCTCCAGGATGGGGGAAAACGACGACAGCGACATCATAGAGCATCACGTCGAGGAGGAGATGGAGAAGAAAGGTGCGAGGAGCTACGCAGCTTCCTCCTCCTTCCTGGAGAGCGTCAGTCCGTCCGAGAGAGAGGGCCACAGCAGCACCCAGTCCTCCCACAGACTGCTGGCCTACAGCGATGCTCTCATCTCCATTATCGCCACTGTCATGGTAGGAAACACACCGAGCTTTGCAACAGAGTCACAACATTTAGGTGATACAGTGTTTGCAACAGAAGAGAATTCACAGTGAAGCGCAGATACTCAAATTTTTCAATTTATGCAGCTTCTTCTCTCAACTGTTGTTTTACTGTCATAGTCAGACCCATCACACTGAGACAGAAAGAGAAAAAAATCTTATCTGCAAAATCTGTAACAGTGAAAACTCCAATTAATTTCAAATAAATAAATAAATAAATAACACTTATAGAAAGATTTCTGCTTAATTCATTACTGCTAATTGGGTCTCCTGGCCCTAAACACGCTGATCTAAGAGTCTAACATATCTGTGTATGTGCAGCACTGTATGTTTGAACTGATCTGTCTCCTGATACAGTTTCATTTATCCACAGATTTTACCTGTTGCTCACACCAAAGTGGAAAATAATGAGGTAACGTCGGACTTTTTAAAAATGTATTTCAAGTTTTAGCAAAGCCGTGATATCCTTGTTATTCAGCTGAGCTTTCTGATGCAGCTTCTGATTTTGCAGTAAATGTAATAACAACTTAACGTATTGTTTGTGTTTGTGTCTGCAAACTGTAAATAAAATCGTCACCAGCAGGGGCGGTGTTTCTCCTGTGGTTACACTGAAATGCTTTCAGATGTGTGACGCCTTTATTTGTTTTTGACGGTGAATTTTAGCCCCACCCTTATTTTCTTCAGGAGGCTTTGATGGGACACCATTGTAAATGCGTTTCTAATGATTTGTTGCTGGTTGAATAAAGGCTACACTGACTCATCGCACCATCTTGTGGTACAAAATGGTATTACACCAAATTGCAACCTGAACTGGATCTAACATCTTCCTGGTTGCTTCACCAACATTCTCTGATGATAACTTTAGTTACTTTTGGAAGTTTTAAACTATCTTAAATGCATTAATTCACATTAAGGACCTATAACAGGACAATGCTGTAAAATCTTGTATTGCAGGAATTGAGGGAGAGTCTTCAGGGTCTACTCTCCACAAAGATCGGCGTTTACTTGATGACATTCCTCATTGTGACTGTTGCCTGGGCTGCTCATATCAGGTTAGTAGTATTGGTAATAGTATTAGTACTGATAGTATCGTAGTACTAGTTATTTTTAAGACGCCCGTTTTCATTCTTTCTCTCCTCGTTTATCTTCAGGTTGTTTCAAGTTGTTGTTCGTATCGATGACTGTCTCGCACTTCTGAACCTCGTAAGTATAAAAATTACTTAAAGTGTTTTCAAAACGACAGACGTCATTTTTTTTAATTTGTAATTTAAGCCTGCCTGCAAGATAATCTCACGTTTTGTTTATCTCATGAAAGGATGATAATGAATACACACTGATGTCTGTTTTTTTGATCAGGTGACATGCATCCTTATTTGTTTTTGTGTTTTTTATCCATGTCTGCATGTTGTTTGTCCCACGAAGCAGGGACAAGATGTTACTTGATACTTACATATGCATATACTCTTACTTAAATTCACCTTATGCTTACAGTTAGGCTGAGCAGAGTATAGGCCTGT